TCTATTTTTTCAAATTCGTAAAAAACTCAATATTTTAACGGGCCGTCACGTAATCGTTAACAACTATTAAAAAATGTAATAAGTGGCACTTGAAAATTGACTTAGACATTATTTGACGTTATCTATCCAACATGAACTTTTTTTTAATGACGTGGCATAATTTTTTATGCACTTGGATGCCCACGTGTGCAGTAGGAACACTGTTAATAGGATTTTTCCTGCTTGTCTCACATCCCAACCAAAAAAAAAAAAAAAATCCTAAAACAAGGAACTTCATCTCCAATCTCAAAAACCCAGTTTCCAGATCTAGGATTTCTCGAATCCTTAACAAATGTACAATGGAATTGGATTTGTCGAACTCACCAAGAAACCCAACAGGGACATCCTTGAGCATGATCGTAAGCGTCATATCGAGCTCACGGAGTAAGGCTACATCGATGCTGAGAATGCTAAGAAGCTTCTTGAGGCCAGGAAAGTGTTGGAAGCGCCTACCGCTTCCAATGAGATCACTGTGCTATAATGGAGATGGAGCCATCAGTAGAGGCAAATAAGAGGTTTTGAGGAAAGGAGCCATCGCAATCGTGTATCAGGCAAGCTTGAGGAGAAACAGACCCAGATCCAAGTTATAGTGAGGATTCGTCACCTTGAAACTTGTTTAGGGTCTTCTTGGATCGTGAAATGGATGGTGAGGGGGAAATGGACCCAGATCTGGGTTATCCAAAGAGGATTCATGAAATGGATGGTGAGGGGATCGTGAAACTTGCCAGCTCGTTTTCTTGCTCATAACTGATCTCATCTTCTTCTTTTGCCACCATCTTTTTCGTGCCATGAATACTGTTGCTTCTCCTTAGCGAATTGGCCAAACGCTTATGCTTTTGGTTCTTGATCATCCGTAGCACTACCTTAGTCCATGTTCTTCTTGACCCAATCACACACGCCATGGTTTTATCAGCTACAATCCTAATTCTTTTGTCCTAGAGAAAGATTTCTCTAGAAGAAGAAGAACTAGGTTTTTGAGATTGGGGAAGAAGAACAGTGGTCCTCGTTATGCCACATTTTAAAAAAAAAAAAAAAATTATGCCACATCATCTAAAAAACGTCCACATTGGATTAATAACGCCAGATAATGTC